TAGAGGCATTAGCTCCCACTATGCAAATCCCCTCGAAACTAGCTTTCCAGTAAAGGTCGTTATGGTACACGAATCCTTCGAAGACCCCATTGAGCTCGACCAGTGCACCATGTTTCCAGGGCAAATTCTTCTGTTGCCGTCCACGTGGGTGGCCAACATGAAGATTTTCTTAGAATGAAATGTGCTCTTCAATATTAAGTTGGGAACACTCGGTCTCAATTGAGCAAAGTGTGCTTAAATCCATCTGAAAGTGGAGACAAAATGTCTTTTTTTTTTATTGCCCCCCCCCCTGTATGAGGACCCAGTCAATTCGGCTGCAGGGTGCAAAGGGTGTAGAAAAGCAAAACAACTCATTAAATTGAGCCACAAGCCGATTGAAAAAGGAGAAGCCGCTAAACATTGGTCTGACTGTTGGAATTGAAGGGTCTTTAAAAGTTCTTTGTAAGACAGGGAACTGTGTGTTTAAAAAAAATCTGCGCTGGCTGAGCCTCCAGTTATAACCACGGGCATCCATTTGTGTGGCATAGCCGTCGTCAGCATGAAGATGAGCTTTATAGACAGGTCATCTTTGCTGTTTCTAGGCCGCAGCCGCCATGCCAAAGCAGTATCAGAAAGGGGATGTACGCAAACCATTTGCCTCAGGCAGGAATCGAGCCAGCACCTCTCTCGTAGGGCAAGTGTTTAGTTCACAACGAAGTTCCCTTGTGAAGGTCATAGAGAGTGGCGCAACACCGATTTTTTTCAAACAAGTTACTCAATGTATGTAAGCTCATTATTGGAAATCATACACATAATCTTTCGCCTTTCATGCAAGCATCTCCTCGGCCCTACCACACATTCTGAAGGATTAAAGAAAAGGAGTTTTACCCACAGCTATCTGGGGATCTAAAGACAGCCGGAGGAGACAAATCAAACAGGAAAGGAAAAAAAAAAATTAATGGGGAGCACGCCATGAAAAATGTGAGGCAGTGGCGTGGCGATAAGTTGGTCACCGTTGCCTAAAAGCTGACGATCACGCAAAAAACAGACGAGCAGATAATAATGCCGTGACATTCGGAATATGTACTAGCAAATGGCAAATTCGACAAGAAAGCATGGTGCAGTCGAGCGGGGATCAAATATAAAAATTCTGAGAACCAACTTTTCAATTTTCACAGTATCGTCCTTTGCGTATTCTGAAGAAGGAAGACGGACAAGTTTTGATAGATGATGAGAAAAGTGGCTGCTTCTGAGAAGCAAGAAGGTTACAAATCTTGTGAGTGAAAGGGGAAACAGTCAGAACAGCAGTTTGATAGAAAAGCGAAACCAGGCTCCAGAACAAAGCTTTGATAGCCGCATTCATTTCACTGTAAGTGATCATAGAACAGATAGGCAGCGAAGCTTTTCACCATTTGCAAATAAATATTCAGATATTTAGGCGAGTCGGAGGACATGCACAACTCGATTTGCCCGGGTGAAGCGAACGGTAAAGTTTACTTTTCTGTGGATAGGTTGTCAAATAGGAATGAGTCACCCCAAAGGTGAGAGAGCTGAAACATCAAGTCTGTCGAAAGCGGGAATAAAAAGGCACGAAAAACATATTTAGTGTTGATCCTCAACTTCAGTATGCGCCATGCATTTGCTTTCGTATGAAGTCGTGTGGGTATTTGGGCCTGTACAACAACGGCTCCGGCTTCGACTTCCACGGCAACTTGCAATGAACAGGTGAATTGGGTGTTAGTGAGAGCAACTAACCAACTCCTTAAGAATGGAATGCTTGGTTTTATTGAGGGATGTCCGAGACGGGTTCTGATTCGGGACCGTATGCGCGGTATGTGACACCGATTGTCGCTACACACCCTCCCGAAACCTAACATATGAGCAACAATAACATGAGTCTTCAGAACCCTTTCGGTCAGTTAAAAAGAATGTTGCTAGGAGGCAGAGCGACAGCCATAGATTTCACTTGTGCAACATAAATGTCGTCTTCTCGATTGAGTTCTAAGTGATCCTGAAATCAAAGTGTCTCGGCATGAAGGGACAACATTAGTTCTAAATTTAGGAACGGTGCATGCTGAGCAAACGAGCGATTCTTTGAACGCAGCGCAACTGTGCATGAATGAGATGTGATGTATGTATGATTCGATTATTGGTGAGCTAGGGAAAGAAGCACATAAAAGGCCGCCGTGCTTTTCTGCGAAATAGAATCCATCCTAGCAACCTAGCTTTCTATTACTGCAGGGACAACCCATTCTTCACCGCTAAAACTCAGAGTGAAACCACTGAGTTTGGCCCAGACGGTCTTTGCCTTAGACCGAATATTCACTCCTATGATTCGTTGACAACTTTTAGACATGGTTGGTGTGACTGGGGTATTCATCAGCCGGCCTGTCAACCTGGGCCTGACGCTGGTACTAGAACCATTTTTGCAATTTTTGCAAGGGCATGGTTTAAGCCTCGGCAGGGATCGAACTCGCGGTTTTTCAGAGGTGCAGACATGAGTCTAACCTCTTAACCACTCGGCCATCCCTGCTTGTCATCGAATATGCATTCCTACTCCTTTACGAATTCACATGGAAGTCGAGCATTTCGACGGCTGTGCAATTGCTGTATTGGGAATGGGGCTCCCAAATGTTACTTAGATATGAAATGAAGCGCAGAATTTTCCTTGATTCTGCAATATTGATGCATTTTCAGGAATGAGCAGACCATCCTACCAAAATGAGTGAACATTGAAGGAAATCTCTCACAAACCTCAATACCGTAACAATTACTAAGCGGATCTTCACTTGAAAGTACATAAACGGATCTTTTAATTGTGAATACATTAGTACTGAGGTCGGCTCATTCTAACAGTGAGCTGCTGTTGACAAGTCTAAATCAATAAGGTAGAGGGGCAAATGATAGATACTGTTTCCTTTGCATGGTTAGAGTGGTAGCCTTCAGTTATGATGCATCTATAGAGACGTCGTGATTCAACACTTACTATCAATTCACACTAGAAAACCGTGCGTCAGTGGTATCGCGACAAAATCGAGGCCTATGTCACTTAGCTCACAGCGAACTCCTTAAAGGCATCCGTTGGCACAGAAAGTAGGTGAGTCAGCGACTGGCAACCAGCGAAGGCTTCAAACTAATGGACACTCGTACATGAGGGTAAAAGGCGAACAAAGTTCGTTCTTTGCAGCAAAAACTGAATTGATCGTCGATACCGGAAAATGTGGTAGCTGTAGCGGTGAATATGCAATATGGAAGCGTTCTAACATAACGCCGACCGGTCGAGAGCAATATAGAAAAAGACGGCCGGACGCGGTCTGCCTCCAGTCATTTGGGCCAGACCGCTGCGCCCACTGCAATGGCTGAGCAGGTGCAGCACCAGTTGAAAGAACCAGAACGGACAGGAAGAGCAATCACATGGTTTTTTTATGGCAAAGGTGAAAACCCGCAAAATGGGAGTCCCGAGAACGTCTCCACATTATCTAACTTGGAAGAGTAATGTGAATATCTTTAAATGAAAGATTATTTTCTTGTAAATATGTTAATTTAAACGAAACTATAAATGAATTTGAAAATGGTAAGTCACCCTCAGCACAGTTCGAGCCTCATTCAGCATTACGTCCAGCAGTTGTTAAGTGGCAGTTTGGAATGATAAAGAAGATGTATGTTTGACCGCTGTCAGTTGGCAGTGTGTGGTAATATTCACTTTACTTCGAATGTGAACGAATACTATTTCACGTTTAATGGAAAATTGTCTGCCACAAAACTTTATCTCTAATCATCTCGGAGACTCTAGCGATGTTAGGACTCTGGCACTCCGAAATGCTGTGCTTGTTACGATGCTAAGCAAAAATCATCATTGCAAAATCAACAGATTTGCTATTTGTTAATTTTAACGGCATTTCAGCAGTTAAGCGATACCATACCCCCCCAGGTTGACAAAAACGCTGATGGCTGGCCATCGCAAGTCATTGGAGAGACTGCGTTGTATTCAGTTTCAAGGCGCCCTAGGTTCTGCATAGAAGTGGGATGTATGGCGCGCGCCCAAAACGCACTCCTAGGGCATTGAGGGTTTCCCTTTTCATTTTTTCATTTCTTTTAAGTTGCAGTCGTATTAGCCTACTACTACATGGCCTGTTTTATAGTCTGTGGAAGATCATTACATTTGCTTCAATGAATTCATATCTAAGGAATTGCAAAGAGGCTATCACAGTGCATTACAACGAGTCTGCTGACGGACTTGTAAAATAGACTGTCGGTGGTTGGTTGTTAATTTTGGATACCTACTCTCACACGCCTTCGAGCGATGTTGCGACACCGCCACAACATCTGCGTTATTCGGGGTTTTCCGAAATTTAACACAATTTTTATATCAAGATACGGCGCGGAGGGGTATTCGTTATCACTCAGTATTTGTCACTTCACATTCATTGTCAAAAAAATCGTCGGACTTTGAAGCAGAGCCTTATAAAAGCTATTAAAGATACTGAACTACGCTCACATTTGTACTACTAAAAGCTTCTGTGACTTCCACCAGTTTAATTATGTCGTTTTCTCTTTGTGTGGCCGGAGGTAACGTCGTCGTCAGGCACACACATACACAAGCTGACATCGTTACCTTGTGTATTTCCGTACTTGTTCTTAAAAGGACTGTCTAGTTTGGTTCTCGTACGTATCTTATAAGACTGGCTATTCAGCACAAAGCTAGTCTGTACTTTTACGATACCCGAGAAATCCATCTGTCGGCTATACATGCAGGAGAATGGCGAGAAGGTATGGTCTGATCTGCCACTCACACAAGATTTTGAATATTTCAATTGAAATAAACAGTGATTTACCAGTAGCGAGCTGAGACAAAAGATCGTTTATTCATACTTCAAAAACACTCTTCAGATTGAAAGGATTAACTCTCTCAGCACATTTTATTGCAGGAATCGGACGATTTGGATGATCGGTCTGTGCCTTCGTCTACAGTTCCAGTCTACGTTAAAAAACTACCTTAAACTTTCCCAAAATTCCATAATTCAATTTTGTGACATCATGAGGAAGTTGCAGCGCCAACCTCGATACCTCGTAGACAACAAAGACAGCGGATGGCGATACCCGTATGAGGAAATCATATAGGTGCCACTCTGGAATTAATCATCAAAAGAGAATTTCTAGGAGTACTGAATTCCTAAGATAGAGATGTACGTGAGTGGAATTAACTTTTGGGAAGTATATTTGGCTATAGTTTTCTTTTTACTGCTAACGCATTTGCGTAATCTTGAAAGCAGCTTTGGATTCGTATTCCCTGCAGAACGATGTGCAGATTTGGTAAAACGAGTTATGAATGAATTTGTTCTCTACTTCGGAAGATAAGTCCTTGCTATTCGTTACTAAATGATGTGGCGGAGTAAATTTACGTGCTATGCAGCATTTCGCTTTGTATGAGGAACTTATTTGAGCTTTTTCTTTTCAAACTGTTTGTCTATTGCTAATTATTGGGCTGCAGAAGAAGATGATTTGTTTTCCAAGTTCTGACGAAGACCTGCTCCAGCTAAAAATTGCGCGGCAAGCAAAAAAAGCTAGACTGAATGTTAAGAATTCTTCGAGCCACAGTTTATTTGACAATCGTCCAGAAAACTGAAGAAGCTTCAATAAAAATAGTGAAGACCATCTTCAATAGAAATTTAGATCTGAACCCTATAGAGATGGAACGGTCGCTACCAAACTCGATCTTTGTGAGGAGGTCATTACTAGAAAAGGATATGAACAAAAAGATGATCTGAGGCTTAGATGCGAACAGAACTAAGCGAGAAAAATCTGTTTCACTTGACAGAAAAAGGAATTGGGAATGAGATTTATCGTATTTTTTAGTAGCGGTTCCACGTTTAAGTCAAGCTAAGAACGGAATGAAAAGGTGTAAAATTTAGATTTTTTTTTCAGTCGCGGTCTAGACGTCGTTTGTGCCTTCCCATACTCTAAGAGTCACTCTAAATATATAGCAGCTCTTAGAATATGCCCTAAAATGGCAATATTTGAAGATCTGTCCTGCGAAATTTCGAATTTTGGGCTGGACCAGTGTTTCGGTCAGAATTATGGAGATGTTTATCGATAAGAGGGCGGAAATCAATAGGAAGGTCTGTCAAGAATGGGTCTCTAAGAACGCTGTTGTCGCTGTCAATGCAGTATCATAACAACTCTATCTTTCTTTACAGTAAATGGGCTCGGTCCAGGTCCTAAATACAACGATTGTAATTCTATAGACAAGAATCGGTCTGTTTTTGTTGGCGAGGATTCGTTGTGTACATACATCGGATCCATTTTCTTTGTTTGGTTATACTGTAAGAATCGAGTAAGGATCTAAAATGCAGAATAATTCTGTGATTCATGAGAAAGACCCTGCAATTGGAATATAATAATGCGCGCTGAACATCTTTTGCCGCCAAAACGTATGTGCGGCTGAATGACAAACTGAGGCCTGATCAGAAATTGGATGACGAGGCCTGCATCAAAATGATGACAGCTACTTTAAGCTTTTTTACAGTTATAAAAAGCCATGTTTTCAGAGGTTCGTTGTTTTATGAAGCTGATTACTTTCAAATTTTTGGGGGCAAGCAATGAAGTTTGGACGTGTTTCACGGCGCACGTAATTTTTCGCCACCCTGTATAGATCAAAGCGGGAAAGCACTCAATGTTGATCAATCCCTTTTTGGATGCGCCACACATGCTGCTTTAACTCGTTGTCGATGGGTGATTGCTAGCTTGATGTAGTCCATCCATCAATGTATAAGTCAGAAGTCTTGTCCTAGCAGACAGGTCTGGAACCAATTAACCGAGCCTGGGGGATTGGAAGGTTAAGTTGGCTTCGGCTTTATACGAGTCAGGATTCGATTCTTGGGCAGCGCGTATAGTGAATATATTGAAGTCGAAGATGATCAAAGAAATAGGGGAAGACAATTGAAAATTACAAAACCAGCGGGAATAGAATTGAATCGAGCCACATTGAGAGGAAATTTACCTCAGACGTCTTGCAGTATCCACGACAGACGGGAATCTCCACCACACCTCGACATTTCTTGCCATTCGAATCGGTGAGCACTAGGGGATTCATCCCGGGAATCTTTTGCAGAAAATATTCGCATTTGCTCTTTGACGTCACCTCGGATGATGGTGCCTGAAAACGTTATCGCCAATTTGTTCTGAATTTTTCGCACAAACTTTTTACCTTTTTTTGAACTTTTTAGTCCTCAGAATTCCAGGAACACCCATTCGTTCTGTGCACTTAATCATTACAAGCTTTATACTGCCAATGATGGAAATCGTGGTGTAACAGGGGGTGGAGCAGGGGGCGATTTTAGGTCTCCTTTAGTGATACCTTTACAAATGCGGCCGATTCTTTAGCCTTAGGCAGGTCATAGCCATAACTGCGCCATAGATATCCTAAGATTCTCCAATTTTTTCCACTCTTCCCTAGGACTCTTTAAAATACCACCCTTTGAGGTAATTTTCTCAGCATTCGTAACACTACGTAGCTGCAATGTGTGGAAACGCGGTCGGGTTGCACACGTTGTGCACGACCCGATCGGTTGATGGGTTACCCATGGGCCTCAAAAAGATACTGTGGGTAAAATAATGCGGAGGTCACAACATCTCCAACATCTCCAGGGCCACAGCCGGGATTCAGCAGCCATACCGCTGATCAGGTTGAGGATGCACTAGAAATCCTGATTTCTTGAAGTTTTCGCCTCAAACAGGGCTCTGGAATATGCATAGAAAGTCCTTTATGTAGAAAGGAGGGCACTCCACTATTAAAAGCTGACTCGAGAATTTTTCCCCATTCTGAAGAATAATCCCGTTCCCAAGCACAAAATATGAAGTGTGACTTACCGCTAGTGTAGTAAGAATGAGAGCAGCGATGATGATGATCATCTCAAAGAATCCGGAAGCTGGATCAATAGCCCGATCGCCATAGGCCAGGTGTTTCTCATTATCTCACAGTAAACAGAATCAGATTTCAACACGGACATGAAATTGCGGATTGAACTTTTCCTTTCTAGATTTTCCCAAGAAAGAGTAGAAACGCGATTAAGCAGCAAATGCAAAACAACAGCACAAAAGTAATTGTTCTGTAATTAACTTTTTGAGCATCACAGTGTTTTCATTATAAACATAAAGATCAACATGAAGCTTGGAGACAACGAAGTCCTTAAATATTCCTTCAGCTACTATTCATTAATATGTGTCAGTTCTTGAGGAGGAAGTTTCGAAGGGCCAAGTGGCAGCGCTATCCATGAGCGCCGCCGGGGGAGGGAGTGGAGGAGGGTCAAATGCTGCACGATATGCTGTTCAGGCCAACCCAGTTTTCATCCCTTTAAAGTTGGTGAATTTGTACTGGATCTATCAGGGACAATAAAAATAGCTAATTGTACGGCTGACGTAGTACTACCATCAGCAGAGATTTTTACCCTTCATTCGAGGATGACGGTGTACCTGGAGTGCGATTCCGCCATAAAGGAAGGTTTAATGATGAGGAGAAGATCAGTTAGGGCGGATCCTCCATTGGAGTAGAAACGCTACAGGAAGCTTAGACCGCCCACATTCTTTCCATCATGAATGGGGGTTACTTATCATTTACAATCGTATACCAAAGAAACAAGGAAACAATCTAGAAGAGATAATCATTTGGGCATGAGTTGGCCACGGAGGCACAACGAGCTTGAACGTCATCTCCTCCTTCCTCACATAGTAACTGCGCTCCGTACTTGTTAGCTGGAATCAGGCCCGAAGGATGAGACTCTCAATTTTGTGAAATGAAATTCGCAAGCAAGGAAGCTAAATATCTCAGAAGCTCGATTGGTCTTGTTATGTTAACTGCTTTCTGTCACCTCTGCCAGATCGAAATTATTGCAAAGATGTTGGGTTACAGAAAAATGCACGTCCCGCCAGAAGTCAGTCGTTCTTCTTCGATTGGATTGCTAACCGTTACAGCATCAGGACTACAGTTCCACAGCCTTCAACTGCAGGAAAGGAGTGCAAGGTGTATAACTGCAAAGAAGCCCGAAGGGAAATTGGTGAGCGAGAATTATGAAACAGTTGGCATGTTTGGTGTGGTTGAATTGAAGAGCACATTGTCTAAGCCCTCACTAGTATATTCTAAGCAGGTTCTAACGGTGCTCTTTTTGCTAAAACTACTGTAGGATAGGTTGGACTGGAATGTAGGATGCAGTAAGAGCTGCAAGATAAGGGTTATGGAAAAGCTTTCTCACGAAAATCGGAGGCAAAACATGTCTGCAACATGCAACAGTTCA